GGGGGTAACGCAACCTTATGGAAAATCGGAGTTTGGATTTCCGTCGGGTAGCGTCGCATGGCGTAGCATCGGGTAAGTGTGTTTCTGGCTTAAAGGGACCGGTGGCCGCAATTGAAAGAAATTACGGCAATCATCATAACCATCCCTAACTAAAAATTAGTTTCTTCGATGGAAGAACAAAGGCACACCGGGGGCTCAAATTCACACTTTTGTTGCGAGCCCCCAAAAATGGAGTCAGGGATCAAGTACAATAAGCTGGACAGCTGCAGTGCTCAGGAGGGAACTCCTCCAGTTCCTGGCGAAATTGTAAAAAAAAAAAATTTAGGAACATTGATGAAACTGTACATTTTTTCTCGATTTAAACTGGCATTTAAATTACTGCAATTATTAGCTAAAGTGCACTCTCAAATTGAAATTTTAAGTAGTTTTGTGTTAATATGCAGTCTTAAAGGCAATTAAGCACTGGTTTAATTCCTACGGTCGCTTCAAATAGGGCTATTAAAAAGGCTTAAGTGGCTACTACAAAATTTCTCGACAGTTACGTACTGAGCTTGAAATTACAACTTTTTTTATTTAATTTAAATATGGTTTAAGAAAATCTGGAGCATTACTTGTCATTGTTAGATTTAGGTTAATTGTAAAACTGTAGGGATGGTTAGGGATTTTTTTTCAACCGGTTCGGTAAGTGGGCCAACAATTTCATTATAAATTTGTATGCCGTCGAGTCGATAAAGGTAAAAAAAAGATAACGCTACAAGGCCGGTCTCACTTAAGAATTAGCCAAACACCGTTTATAACAAGTCTAAAATTAAAGGCCACCGTCACCGAGCCGGACGTAAATAAACGTTATGCAATTTGGACGTCGGGTACAAATGACAAGAAGGACCGGGTTCTAAGTGCACATGGGGAAATTTTTTACCTGACGCCGAAATCGAATTTAATCAAATGTACTTTTCATATTTGCAAACGGCGAAAAAGAGAAAACGGTTTTTGATCTATGTACGCCCACCTGACGAGTTGTTTTCCTTGAAAACGCCCACGGGCCAAAACATAAGACTCGGTTCACCCACGGCGGGGTTTTTTAAATCGAAGTTGTTTCTCCACAGTGGAATTAATTTTGAAAAAGATATTTAACAAGGGAGCAAATTGCTTTAACCACTACCCGCAAGGCCTGATTTCTTATCGTTTATGCCCAATCTTGTAGATGTTTTAATCTGTCGATAATTTAATCGTTTATCCTGCAATTTTTTGAATTGATTAGTCTCTTTGGAACAAAACTAATGTTGCACTTCAAACCCTGTAGCAATCAGTTATTGTCATAAGGTTTAATACACCCTTAGATCGACAATAAACCTTGGAAGACATTTCACTTGATTAAGGTGAAGTAACCACAACAAAATTAAAATGAATATTAAGATGATTAGAAATACATATATGTATGTCATTTTATAGCGGTTCATTATTAAATATATGTGTAAAGCATCATTAACGTTTGGAGCGTTTGATCTTATCAATGGTGTTCCATCGAAAGCTACTTATAAATGTTTAACTTCGCACACATAAAAGAGGGGTATTCACGATCTTTGTGTTAACCCTGTTAACTCTGTTAGGTCCTGTTAGATCGAAAAAAAATGATGACGTAGACTTTTAAGAATCGGCAAGTTAACATATTTCGATCTAATAAGCCACGGCCAATGTTAGATGGTAAGTCGAAAATGTAGTTACATTGCTATCCGTTAGGGCGCAGGTAACCAACATGGCAGCCATGAAAGCTGGTTTTTTCTTTTTGTTTACACGTATTTTCATTCTTAAATAAGCGTTAATTAAATCAGATCAATACATTTCTTGTTAATTTCTGACCATTATACTCTCATTCATATTAGATACAACCCCTAGCCTATAAAGTTGTAGGCTGTTAGAGGTTAGGATATAGGTTAGGTGTGTCGGCACGAATTGAAACGATTCAGTTGTTAGTACTTTTCGAGTGCATAGATCGCATTTTGAATGAAAGAGTTGATTAATGTTCCTTTTTTTTAACTTCTGGGATCATACAATTTAACACAAAAGAAAACCAAAACAAACAACAAGTCTTCAAGGACTGTTATAGCATTATTTTTGGTTCTATTGATTATTTGATTTGATGAAAAGATGGTTTTATCCCATTATATTTCAATCGATTCTGTTGATGGTCAAGGCCCTTATTTGATGATGCCGACTTTTCAAGAATTTAAATAAGTCTATATTTTGCTGGGGGAAAACTTTTTTCTGCAGTAACCGATCATTTTTTTAATTCTCAAACTCTTTAGACGAAATTTAGTATATTCAGTTTGTTTTCAACCAAGTGTTTGTATATTTGCTAAAATGTTCTTAGCAACATCCTTGGTCTTTGTTTAGATTTTTGATTTTCTTAGATTGTGTATAATTTTGCTGTTTCATAAACATTGCTCTCAGTGAAAGGATCTTCTTGAAATGAAAGTTTAAGAGCATAAGGGGGCGTAAAGTATCATAGGGTGGTGATTTATTCAAAATTCATATTACTTTTTTTCTTCTCGAGGAGGGAGGATTGAGAAACCAACACCCTTTTCTCATACAAAATAATCCAATTTTAACAAAATTTATAATAATAATACTAGTCATAAATCATTCCTCTCCAATTCGGCTTCAGTCCTCATCATTCCACGATCAAAAAGGTTAAAGAGTAGTCAGTTGACGTTGAAAATAATATACTGAGAAGGTGAAGGCGTAAAAGAGCCTCGATTGCATCTACATAAAAAATTAAAAGCAAAAAGTTTTGGAAAAGGTTACAAAAGTTTTTATATTTCAGATGAAAATAGGGGTATTCACGATCTTTGTGTTAACCCTGTTAAGTCTTTTAGATCCTGTTAGATCGAGAAAAATGATGACGTAGACTTGCTAGAATAGGTTAGTTAACATTGCTCGATCTAACAGGACAATGTTAGGTGTTAGGTCGAAAATGTAGTCACATTGCTATCCGTTAGGGCGTAGGTAACAAACATGGCAGCCAAGAATTTAACAGCTGTTTTTTGTTTACCCCTATTTTTATTCTTAAATACGCTTTAATTAAATCAGACCTGTACAATTCTTTTGTTAATTTCTGACCTGTCCTTATACTCTCATTCATAATAGATGCATCCCCTATCCTATAAAGTTGTAGGCTGTTAGACGTTAGGATATAGGTTAGGTATGTTGCCACGAATTGAAGCGTGTCATTTATTAGTACTGTTCGAGTGCATAGATAGCATTTTGAATGAAAAAGTTGATTAATTTTCCTTTTTTTAACTTCTGGCATCTTACAATTTAGCACAAAAGAAAACCAAAACAATAACAAGCCTTCAAGGTCTGTTATAGCTTTATTTTTGGTTCTACCAGTCGCCACGCGCAACATTGTGGAAAAATTAACGTTTAACATGCTAAGAAAAGAAGGGGGCGTTCACGAAATTAGTGTACATTTTTCTATTCGAGTTAACATCGTGAATACCCCTAATATGTACAGAGTTGAGGTTATTAATATAACCTATTAGGGTTTTGGCAGTATGGGGTCTTATCCGTACCGGCACTGAAGATCCAGGGGCTTGCTCATAGCTAGGTCATTTCACCATCAACGCATGCAGTTTTTAAATCTAGGACACTCACCCTCCTAAAATTCATTCTTTACCATTTATATGTCATACAATTTAGTAGGTTTTTATTCTTCCATCGGACACTGCATATTCACGCTAATAAATATGTTCGCTCTCAGTGTACACAAAACGAGGTCTATCAGTACTATAGATTGTGCAATAATCCTGGTTCTACTTTTCTCCAAAAATCAGAACAAATGGGGCAAATACACGCTGCTTTGCTCAAGCACTATTCTTAATTCTGGGAGCCGAGGATTGCAACTTCGTTTAAGTGAGAAAAGTAAGTGTCCGGGTGTCAACCTGGCAAGGCCTATTCTTAATCGGGTTCTCTGCGGGTCACCCACTGTCCGTCCCACTTTTTTTGGAATGTGAGATTTCCTCGTGAGGTCTGCTGGGTGATCTGTAGTTCGATAGTTACCTCTCGCGTTTTTCAGCAAGTATACTTATGTTAGCCAGTCGCGTTTCGGCATTTTCATCTTCAGAGCTGAATCAACTAAGACGAAAGGTAGCTATGAAACTATAGTAGATAGGTTTATCATATTGCGGCTTGATTGCTGTGGTCAGGTTGGGATGCCCCCTCCGCTTTGTCGATATCCTCCAGACCTATGTCCGGTGACCCAGATCAGTGTATCTCGCCAATTATTATCAGTTATCTCTTATATCATTTCAGTCTTCAATATTGTAATTAAAAATTTACATTAAAACATTAACATCAAAACTGTAATCCATCCGGTTATCATGTACAGTACCGCCAATACAACTACCATTTTAACCTAAATTTCCAATAATTATGTTAACAGATGTATTGTTTATACGATTTTAATTGTTTTAACAAATGTGATCATACATTTAAAATATTGGTCTCTATGGTTTCCAGTGGAAAATAGAAAAATTTAAAAATATAACCTCCGTCCGGTTATCGCATACATCTAAAAGTTTAACCTAAATTTCCCATAATAATGTTAGTGCCGATATTGTTTATATAACAATTTATTATTGTTGACAAATTTTTGTATTTCCATTTATGAATATTGCCTTGATTTTTTAAAGAATTTTGTTATATGTACCTGCTTTTAATTTAATTTTGCTTGATGAAAGCACATTTTTAATTAGTGTAAAACCAAAGAATAATTTTATTAGAATGTGTGAGAATCAAGTGTGTGATGTTTTCTCAGTCAAAGAGTGTGAAAAAATCCCAATATTTTAGGGATTTTTGAAATCATTGGATCTGTATGTGTTTTATAACGATATTGTGTTTTTTTTAAAATAAAATGCGCACCTTTTTGCAATTAATTATCTGTGTCAATTAATTTTTCTGTTCTTTTGCCACTAAGTGAAAATCTTCCTTCTTATTTCCAGGTCTGATCGAAAAATGGGGTGGCTTGGAGAAGAAGTCGGAGGAGCTGCGGAAGATGTGGTCCCTGCGGCGGGAGATGTCGTCGATGGAGGACGAGATGCTGGCCATCGGCGATGCCGTCGCCAGGCTGGCGGTCAAGGTAGAGAGCCGTGATCAGCTCGAGCATCGTATTCAGCAAGTACAGGTGAGCACGATGATTCTACGGTTTACACGCGAAAGGTCAATTTTTTCCTAGAATGTCCTGCACAACTCGAAATGAATTAGTGAGGAAGAGCCAGGGATTAGCATAATTGTGCTGTGTCTTTCAAAGGGTCAAAGACAACAGACCTTATTTAGTCGAAATTCGTTCAAACACCCGACAAAACGATGGTCGGCATCCAAGAAGAAAGCATAGGCCGGAAAATTTTGTAAGAAGGCTAAAGCGGGGAACACACTTACCTTATGCGACGCTACCCGATGCTACCCAACGCCTTGTCTCGTTTTGGTAGGATGTGCACATCTATGCGACTTCAAACGCAGCGCCTCTTTTTTTCTTAGTGCAAAATCTTGTAATAAATTGTTAGTTAGATTTTATGAGCACAACCAGGCAATAAATTGTTTTTAATAAAGTTTAAGAAAAAATTTAAAAACAATTTTTCATCTCGTTTAATTTGGTTTACATTCAAATAAGAGTATTGTAATTAATATAACGACAAAATTACATAGACATAGTTTGAAATAAACTAGAAAAAATATGAGTGTCCTGTTCTGGCGCTACTCAACGAAAATGGTGTAATTTTTTGAGTAAAACTATGAAATAAATTGTTAGTTAAATTTTATGAGCAAAACCGTGTAATAAATTATTAAATTCATTATATCAAAAAATTGTATTCCGGTGTTTTGATCAATTTTCTACCATATTATTTTTTTAAAATAAAATCTAATGAATTTTTGATATCGGTTAATTTGGTTTATATTAAAATAAGTATATTGTAATTAATATCGACAATAATACATGTAGTTTGAAATAAAAATATGAGTATTCGGTTCTTTTGTCTTCGACTGTACTCGATGCTACCCGACGAAAATCTGGAGAGTGGGGATCGCAGAGCGTAGAGTAGGGTAGCGTTGCGTAGCATCGGGTAGCGTCGCATAGCGTAAGTGTGTTCTCCGCTTAAAAAATGTTTCCTGCTGCCGATTACGCAAGAAAAGCATTAACATTAAACTTTTATTAATATCAGGTTGAATCAAAATATTTAAATGTGGATCAAAAAGGAATAAGAGATATCTTTTCATAAAATAATTCTCCTCGGATCGTGATAAAATTTTATTACTTACAAATTTGATCTTGTCACATAAAGTTTGCCGAACAAGCTTAGAAAAATTTTAAATGATGCTTTTTATCCCGGATTCTTTCAATCTTCAGACACCCAAAAATCCACGCAAATTTATACCACTTCAGCAAATTTCACGTAATTTATCGAATTACGAATCCATCGAGCTTTGATAATCGCGGAGGAGAAACAAGTTTCTCTTATAATTGAAACGTCACGATTATAAACATCTCGATTCAAAAAAGGCCAGGTATGTTTGAAACCTATATTACTTACAATTCAACTTTCCATTTTGTGACCACAAGGAAGACCCCAGGGTCAAAATTCATAGCATCGCGATCGCCGATTTTTATAAGAGCTCTTTTCAAATACACGTTTACAGCTGAAATCGCTTTTTGAATAATTAATTTACGAAATCAAAACGATGCCTCGGTGGCCCAGCTTTCTCCGTTGCAATTAAGCCCATTCAACTCGATTCCATTGTGTTGATTTCTCCGGCGTGGGCAGACAGGTGAATGCTTAGGAAGTATCCTTGTCACATTCAGCGACACCCTTATCATTACACGCATTGAAAGACGGGATGTTGATTTTTTTCGTGAAAGTTTGTCTTTTGATGCTGTCCAATTTGAGAAATCGAGATCCGGCTTGCTTAAACCTATAAATATTACGGGTTTAGTCAAGTAAGTAGCATCGCTTCAGGAAAATTCTATTAAAATCATCTAGGCCAGTGTAAAGTCCATTTATAACATAATCAATAATATCTGCAATCTCAAGTTCAGTGAGTAATTATGAGAATCGCTTACTCAACCGAGAAATAGTTTTTGTTTTGCTGTAAGAATATTTAATTTAAAAAACAAAGAAACAAAAACCATTTATCTTTCATTGTTTCTCCAGAGTTGAATATTGTATGAGATGTATCTTCTCTTAGCCGACTCGTAACTGGTTTCAGGATAGATTGCTTCATTTGCTAAAGCGTTTTTAATATCGATCCAATCTAATTTCACGTCTTTGCTCTACCGGCATCTAATTAGCTTACGTTTCTTATTTTCTGATGATAATCTTTCCACTAATAGATTACACCCTTCGAGCAATCCTGAAATCACTTTCTCCCGTGGGAGCGTTTATCTTGGCGAATTTTATTTACAAACCTCAAAGGCCTTGCTTCAATTTTTAGGTTGATATTTTTCAGAGAACATTCAGTTTTGTGTGATTACATTTTTAAACTTTTTGTTTGTTTTTCCATGGTGTGAACATAAGAGAGAGATTAGGTACATTCAACCACACCCAAAGAGTAAATCACGAAGTTAAGCGAATTTCAAATAATAACAATTACACAATATCGGTCTCTCCAAGAGAATTACGTACCATAGTTAAATTCAGGTCTCAGTCAAATAAAAGTCAAAAAAATGTCTGTAACTTAGTGCTAAAACATTGAGCTAAGGCATTTGTATAATTAACCCATAATACAAAGCCACATAACAACCAAACGTATTCTAATAGAAGAACAATTCGGCTTTCGACCTGGTTTAGACACAACTTCCCTTCTAGCGAAAGTAGTTGATGAAGTAACGGCAGGATTTAATTCCAAAAAACACCCAGGTATGGTATTACTAGACTTAGAGAAGGCGTTTGACACTGTCCGGCATAACAGAATAGTCTGCAGGCTGTTAGAATATAGTTTCCCAACATATGTTTTTAGGATCATAATGTCCTATCTAAGTGAAAGATCCTTTCGCGTTGTTCTTAACAACGCTACGTCTTCTCCTTTCAAAGTTGTTACTGGGGTCCCTCAAGGGTCTATACTAGGGCCAACACTTTTTTCTATATTCTTAAATCCCTCCCTACACTAGATAAATCAAACTGCAAGTTGGCCCTTTACGCTGACGACATCGTAATATATTGTTCCTCCTGGAGACAGACTGCTATAGCAAACAATTTGAACTTGGCTTTACAAAAATTAGTACGATTCTGCCACAGATGGAAGTTAACCTTAAACACAGTAAAAACAGAATCGATATTCTTTACAAGGCCGCGACCCTCTCTCGATAAACAAATCATGCTTGACGGGGTAAACATACCGTGGACCCCACAGGTAAAATACCTAGGGGTGACACTGGACCACAAACTGAATTTCACTGAACATGTTAACACGTTGATGAGAGGCAAAATAATGATTAAGACTTTTCCCCCCTTTAAGTCGAGAATCATCTTTGAGCGTAGCAAATAAGTTAGCTATTTACAAAGTGAGTGAAACCAATAATATTGTACGCTTGCCCTGCTTCGAGCTTCACAAGCATGACTAACATTAAGGGCCCGTTGCACCAACTTCGTTTAACCTTGGTTCAGTACTGAACGGAGTTCAACGCAAATATCGGCATTTTTCAATCTGTTGATCCGAGATCAAGTGATGAACGTTGATCAATTCTGAACGGTCGTCGAGCTCGGGTTAAACAGGGTTCAGAGCTGAACTACGTTCATTTGATAACATAACCTGCGCGTTGTTTAACCGTATATTGAGATAGATCGAAATGGACGCATTTTTACCTAGTTATTTAGAGGAATTAACAGATGTTGAAGATTTCCTTGAGTTAGTAGCTCTACATATAAACAAAGAAAGGGTTTTTAGAACCAGACAGGAACATGAACCAGACAGGAATGATGAATTCTTCAATAGATTGAGAATGACAAAGAATGAAGTGAACTTCGTGGCCCACCAGTTTTTTTCATATGGGCACTTTTTTCTGAAAGTTTTTTTTTCCACTTTTCTTAATATTTTCGTACCTTCCTTTTAAAACGGCACTGCTTCTCGCAGTAACCCCATGAGAGTTATACTCCGCTGTAATCTGTTGCCAACAGTCTGCCTTTTGTTTGGCACTTACGGCGTCTGTCTTCAAATTGTGAACGACGTTCCAGTGAACTCGGCTTGAACCGTGACTGGTGCAACGGGGCTACAAATAATAAGAGGCTACAAATAATACAAAACAAGTTTTTAAGACTAGCCACCTCGTCCCCACGCTACACAAGGCTGACAGACCTGCTGCATGCTTTAGTTCAAATGCCATGGATTAAGGAGGAATTAAAATTCAGGACCCAAAAATTTTTTTCTCAAAAAGCCTACAGCGAAAATGCCGTATGTGCTTCAATCGGCACATATGATTTCTCAGATCTTGGAAGCACAGGAGAATAAAACATATTTTATCCTCCTGAATCTCAATCATCTCACTTATTTAACTGTTACTTAATAACTTATGAAAATATTTAACCACTAACCTGCTGATTTGTTAATTTATTGTACTGCCAACTTGGTTAATTTGTCAATTTGTTACAAAAACCAGAAAGGCCCTCTAAGGCAAGACCAATTAGTCTGCCGTGTTCACTGAGCAAAATTTTAAGGAAAATAATTGACCTCGGGTTACGCTACTGTATGGATTCCAAAAGAATCTTCCTGAGAAATTTATTCTTATCCCTCGACACAAGCTCCTTAGTAGGCTTATTGACCACGTTAGCTATAACTTTGACTATAAAAATAGCATGGAACGGTTTTACTGGAGACCGTTGGTGGTGGTGATGATGGATAATAGGAAATGGGCAGGTTTTGTTCCTCAAGCGACCTTCCGGCTGGTAATATCTTAATCTAATCGACCGACGCTTTAGAGTTCACTATGGGGAAGCCATTCTTGAAGCAATTACATTGGGTGTTCCTCAAGGCTCAGTGCCGGGGCCAGCATTGTTTCTGGTTTAATTTGTGTTATGTCAAAGTTCCAGCATGTCCAATGGCCCTACTTGCGGACGACACGATGCTCTGTTTTCGTCCTCGTGACGCACCTTCTCTATTACTAACAATAAGAGACTGAATGATGTTTTAAATAAA